GTGTGTGTGTGTGTGTGCGAACGTGTGTGTGTTTTCTATCTCTACATCTAAATGGAGAAAAAGCTCAACACTCGTCTTCCCTTTAGAAGCACAGAAAGGGTGCATGCATTATGTGGGGTCCCATGACTGCACACAGACATACACAGTGGAAACCAGTCACATTATAGTTTAGTAATATTTGAAGAAGCAGAAAGCAGAAAGGTTTGTTTCCCTCTGGATTTGACCTTAAATTTTGTGTTTAGACACACATACACACACACACACATATTCATTCAGTATGGAATAACAACAAATGCCTGGCATACACACATAAACAGACATGTATCTTAATTCAAAACATCTTAATTTAAAAATGTCACTGAAAAATAAACCTAAAAGAAGCCTTCCTCCTCGTCTTAAACCAGGAGACGTACAGTCCAGCTGAAGGACCGTCCAGCACCAGGTTGTGACTGCTCTGTAGGTGAGCCTGACCTCTGACCTCTGACCTCTGGCCCCCACCTGAGGAGGCGGCAGAGAGGAGACGAGGCAGAACTTCCCCACAGGGATCAAGAGAGGATCACATCGCATATTCATGGTACTGCAAAGAGCAGAGGGATAAAAGCACAAACCATAAAGCATACGGAGAGAGTGGTAGAGAGAGCAGGAGATAAACACACACAGAGAGGGAGAGAGAGAATATGTTTGTAGGTGTTTAAATCTAAAATTCTCCTTGAATTTAAAGTATTTTTCTTTGCAGCTCTGCAAGGCGTTCTGTCTCTGTTCAACCACTGAGCTCAAAACTGTAGAGAAAAAACAACCAAGGCCGTACATCTGTGTGTGTGTGTGTGCGTGTGCGTGTGTGGGTGTGTGTGTGCGCGCGTGTGTGTGTGTGTGTGTTTTGCATGCATATGTATGAGGAGACAGATGGGATGTAATTTAAACGTTACCTTGTACAGATGCACATTTTACCCTTCACACACACATATGAGACGCCTCAGAGAGAAAACTGATGCAAGAAATACACACTGGAATACTGTTAGAACCTACTGATATACTGCAAATCAGTAATTAGGAACTGCAACAATGGTTTTATATATGCTACTAAAACAATGTAGTATACATTATTGAAATACTGAATACACTGAAATATTGTCAGAAACTCTACTCACAACCTACAAAATAATGTGATCATTAATATCTAAAATAATTTCTGTATCTAAATCTCTAGATGTATCATTATTTTGTGTTGTGTTATGTTTTGGGGGAACATACTGTATATATATATATAAAATATTCACTCTTGATATCTGCCAATGCTCACCGCCCAGAGCTCATTTTTGCCTTATGGTCCCCTAGCAGGTCAATCTGATATTTCTGGCAAGTTTCAATTTTATAAGCCAGTTAATCCACTCTAAGGCAGTGGTTCCCAACCTTCTTTGTAAGACCCATAGCCCAGTTCAATGAACTCAATTACCCCTTCATCTACACCACCATTTATGTTCAAAATGTGTCCATCTGAATTTATTTCAAACTGGATGTTATTCAACCATCATATAAATGTGGGTATAATAGTGGATATTACAATGTTTTCATACAAATGAACTGTCAGTGTTTAGTGTGGCATGTAATTACTCAAATAATGACACATCTAGTGCCTGCTGCTTAAGATTAGGGAAAAAAACTGAATGTGCAACATTTGTGTCTGACACACACTGCAAACTGCAAGTCAAAGCATCAATTTATATTGACTCTCTTTAAATATAAAGACAAAAAAAGGCTTTGTGTGCAGCTTTTCTTTCCAAAGCACAACTTAGACTTGAGCTCAAGCAGTAAGCTTGTAGCTACAAAATAGAACTGTGTTGTATTTTACTTCTGTGTTGTGTTGCTGTGATGCCACCAGTCAATCACAGCCATCTGCGAAACAAAGCAGTCACTTTTTTAAATTCAAGATAAAATTATTCACAGTTTCCTGCTTTGACTTCCATTTTCCGGAACTTTGCAACTGCACTGTCCGCACGTACAAAGGAGACTGGGCATGAATCCAGTGTTGGAATTGAAAAACTGAATACAAAAACAACCATCCACCACCTTGTCCATGCTTCTGCACCTCCCCTGTTCTACATGAACATCGCATTACTTCCTACATTGCCAGTGAATTGTAATCAATATTTGGAAGCAGTCTTTCTGTGTTCCTAGGCGGGTTACATCTAGTGTACAATACGGTCACCAGGATGTTCCCATGCTCCTCTACAAAATAACACCACATCAACAATTCAGGCGCCGTTGTTGCCATAGGATATTACCGCTCTCTCTCTCCTTCTCTCACTCCCCCTCTAATCCATACATATATCCCAGTGGACAGCAGACTGGGAAACTGTTTATCCAATCACAGCTGTTCAAAATTCCTCACCTTCTCCCGCAAATTCTACCTTCACTGGTGAATATAAATGCCTAGGACTGTGTGTGCGTGCGTGCGTGTGTGTGCGTGTGTGTGTTGTGGTGGGGGATGCTCAGCAAACACTGCAGAGCAAGCAGTCTGGAAGCAGAGCAATAATTCACCCTCTGCAAAAGCCATGAATAAAAACAAACTTAGGGGAAGCGACAAAATACAAAATGTGCTCATTCTTTTCTTCTATTTCTCTCTGTCTCCTCTCCCTCGCTCTTACTTTCTCTCTCTCTCTCTCACACACACACATCGACTCACCCTCTCTTTCACCTTCGCTCTGCATCAAGCTTCCCTCAAACAAATTATATTTTTTGGTATTTCAGCCCAGGTAAACTAACAGAAATGAAATAAATATCATGTTGAAACCGCAGCGACACACAAGCAGATATAAACACAGTGTGCCGTTATCAAACAACGAACGGGAGAAGTAATAAAAACTAATAAAGACAGAGAAGTATGCCCTCTCTGTGAAAACACACTCACACATACACACACACACTGAAGGACGTAATCACAACACACAGATTCATTATTACATCTCTCGACGGCAGCTGTGTAGGTGTGCGTGAGTGTGTGTGTGAGTGTGTGTTTGAGGAGTCGTGCTGCGCGGTTCGAAATGTCAGGGCTCGATTGATTTCTTCTCCCTCTGATTAATTCATGTTACGCTCTAATGTTCTGCATAGAAAATTGTTGAATGGCATTCAGCGAGATTAAAACCACAAACAGCGCTTTTCATAATTTGACAGGTGATTGGCGGGAGGCAGACTCCTGGATGATTGCATCATTAGGGGATTTTTTTTTTTCCCAAAGGGGAATTAAGCACAACCATCGGCCTTTTTCTACATCCATGTGGCCTCGCTCAAACACCGCCGCTCTGCCTGTCAGTCCACCTAATAACTCTCTCACACTATTTGAATACATGAACTGTGAATACACGCCGACTCTGAAGTGTTTTAATGCGTCCAACTAAAAGAACAGATACATTTAAATTTTATTAAATGTGTTAATCTACAACCACTGAGAGCTCAGCTTCAATAAAAGATCCTCACTGTTAAAATCAGTCATTATTAGCAACACTAGCAAAGTGATTCAGACAGATATATCACCAACTACTTGATGGATTGACATGAACCCGGACATTCATGGTCACTGACTTTGGTGATCCCTTGACTTTTTAATTAGCGCCACCATGAGATCGACCTTCCAAGGTTTTTAGAGAAATGTCACACTATTGGATCGATTACCATCAAATTTGGTTCAGACAGTCATGTCCTCCCTCAGGATGAACTGTAATACCTTCAATGATCCTTTCACGGTTTAGCTAGGTCAAAATTTACATTTATTGTCAACAAATGACCAAATATCATAGATATATAATAAGAACTAGATACTGTATACCAAGATGGTGCCAATTCAGTCCAAAAAGAATTGCTCATATGGTGCATAAAAGGTTTTCTAGCTTATAATGGTGGTGCAGGGTAATTTTTCACCGCAATACCACAAGTGGCCACTGGGAAAAATGTAAAGTAAGGCTGAGCAGTGCAACCATGTCTATTTATGCCAAATAAAAGTGCAAAACACTTTGACTGATGATATAAATTGTTCGTGGAGCATAGTTACCCCCTAAGCATAATTACTGTATGTGCCTGTCTAGCGTAATGTTTTGATGTTTTGTCAAATTGATTTGATGTGGTATAAAGAGGTGGAAGTGGTTGAGGAGGAAGGATGGCTCAAACAAACAGGATTTATACTCAGGAGACCACTGTTTATGGCCCATGTGAGACAAAAAGTCAACGTTGTCTTTTTTTAACTTACGTAACATAATTATTTTAATCATTATATTACTTATATTACTTTAGAAGAAAATAAGAACAACCCTAGGTTCCTCTTCAGCACTGTAGCCAGGCTGACAGAGAGTCACAGCTCTATTGAGCCATGTATCCCCATAAATTTAAGTAGCAATGACTTTATGAACTTCTTTTAT